TCATCAGGGCGATGAATCGCCCTGATGACGGAGGCAGTATGACCTCTGAAACGTTGGTTAACATCGACCAGACTACACAGCGCAACAACCCAGAAGACGGAAATCTTCATACTCTGATGACGGAGGTAGTATGACCTCTGAAACATTGGTTAACATCGACCAGACTACACAGCGCAACAACCCAGAAGACGGATATCTTCATACTCACCGCTGTGAGAACCTCAAGTCTTACACAGTTCATACATCTAAAATAATTCAATACTATTGAGGGATCGATTATAGAGTCACTGCGAGTGTGGATCACGGCATGTCGGATAATAAGGTAGTCCCCCACCCCCCCACCCCGGATGTTTGGCCGCGTGTAAACATGCTTCTCTCGACAGCCACCCTTCTGCAGGAAGTAGGGGTGTGTTCGAGACAATCAAGTGCCTTGTGCTTATTTTTACAATATGCTCCTGCTTTGAGCTTTCGCTGTAAAACAGACCGTAAACCGCGTGGCACATTGCTTCGTTTGTCTTACGGTCTTAACCTAACACTGGACCAGACGGCCTTCACGTCGTTACCAGTTGCGCCGCTAAGAATTGTGGGTGGGGAGTCCCCCCCCCCACCCCTCTGTTACGACTTCCGCCGTGTAATTACGTAAACATTAAACGCAACTGAGGCGTTTTCAGGAAATAATTAACATCGTTGACGGTGACTTCGAATCAGTGATTTAAAATGTCGAAGAGAAATGTCGCTGTCTAGTACTGTAACTGAGAGCGCCGCAGGGAAATTCGTGTTCAGCCCGACAAGAAAAATGCTAACCTAACCTAACCTTACGAGACATTACCCATTTCACTATCTTGTATAACGCACAGGTGTTGTATATCGCAGAGTGAGACAATGGAATATTTGTGAATAATGAATTGGGAGGGATATCGGAGGAAGTGGTCGAGGCATATTTTTAAGACTCGTAATATCCATGAAGAGGGTGAGAAAAGCCACGATTATTACACGCTGCTGGGTCGCCACGTTTCTAAAGATGAGGTTCATGCACCTCCCACAGCTGTTCTATTTCTGTCTGCCAAAATTAGAGATCGCTTCCGCCCGACTACGCACACCCTTGTAGTGGCCACTCTTCGGGAGGAACCATGTCCAAATCTCGGGCCGGAAGCTGACGTCCTTAACCAAACGGAAATACCGGATTTATATCTTGTGATTTTTTTCAATTCCTCCGGGCAAATAACTGGATATTAAGCCAACATTAAGGCTTTGACCGGGATGTTAAATCTTATGTGGTACCGCCTGATTCGACTTCTAATGTTTAAGTGAAGTGTTTTCTTCGCGGTACGGTCTGGATTCGTAAATATTATGAAGACGAGCTTCGGCTTCAAAGGGTTAACCAGCTGATTTTCGTAATGGTGAGGTGAATTGTTTTCTTCGCGGTACGGTCTGGATTCGTAAATATTATGAAGACGAGCTTCGGCTTCAAAGGGTTAACCAGCTGATTTTCGTAATGGTGAGGTGTAGTGTTTTCTTCGCGATACGGTCTGGATTCGTAAATATTATGAAGACGAGCTTCGGCTTCAAAGGGTTAACCAGCTGATTTTCGTAATGGTGAGGTGAAGTGTTTTCTTCGCGGTACGGTCTGGATTCGTAAACATTATGAAGACGAGCTTCGGCTTCAAAGGGTTAACCAGCTGATTTTCGTAATGGTGAGGTGTAGTGTTTTCTTCGCGGTACGGACTGAATTCATAAATAATATTCAGACGATCTTCGGCTTCAAAGGGTTAAAGA